GATTTTTGGAGACAAGGTCTTGCTCTGTCACCAGGGCTAGAGTGCAGTGGCATCATCATAGCTCACTGCAACCTCAAACTCCTGGGCTCAAGTGATCATCTGGCCTCAGCCTCTCAAGTAGCTAGGACTACAGGTGCGCGCCACCACACCCAGCTAATTTTTCTATTTTTTGTGGAGACAGGGTTTCAATATGTTACTCTGGCTGGTCTTGAACTCCCAGCCTCAAACTATCCTCCCACCTCAGCCTCCCAAAGTGTTAGGATTACAGGTGTGATCCTCTGCACCCAGCCTATTTGCTCTTATTTTTTCCAGTTTCTTTAGACGCTGAAGTGATTAATTAAGAACTTTTTCCTTTTCTGATAAGTGTTTTGTTCTATAAATCCTTCCCCCCATGAAAATGCTGTGTTTTCATTTTCATTCAGTTCAAAATATGTCTAATTTCCATTTTAATTACTTCTTTGACCCATGGGTTATTTAGAAGAGTGTTATTTAGCTTCCACATATTTGGCATTTCTAATTGAATTTCATTATAGTCAGAGAACTTATTTCAAGTGATCTTAATGCTTTTAAATTTCTTGAAATTTATTTTATAATTCAGGATCTGGTTTATATTGGTAAATGTTCTGTGTGCACTTGAAAAGAATTTGTACTCTGTTGTTGAGTGGCATGCTCTATAAATAACAAATACATCAAGTTGGTTAATAGTGTTGTCAAGTCTTCTATGTCATTTTTGTTCAACTTCATCTATTAATTATTGACAAAGGAGTGTTGAAATGTTTGACTATAATTGTTAATTTGTCTAGTTATTCTCATAGTTCTATCATATTTACTTCATATACTTTGAAACTCTATTATTAAATCCCTAAACATTTAGAATTGCTATGTCCTCTGAATGAATTGTCCTCTTTACCATCATGAAATGACCATATTTATCCCTGGTACTATACTTTGTTCTATAATTTACTTTGTTATTAATATAGCCACCCTTGATTTCTTTTGTTAAGTATTAGCATCCTTTTACTTTTAACATATTTGGATCTTTATATTTAAAGTGGATTTCTTATAGGAAGTGTTTGAGTCTTTCTTTTCTATCTGATCTGACAATCTCTGCCTTTTAATTGAGTGTTTAGACCATTTATATTTAATGTAATTATTGATATGGTTAGGCTTAAATTTACCATCTTGCTGCTATTTGTTTTGTGTATATCCCATGTGTTTTTTTGTTTCCATTTTATTTTTTGTCTTCTTTTGAACTGAGTATATTTTTATGA